TAACAAAAGAACAACAACAACAACAACAACGGACAGTTGGTAGAACAGCATGCCTAGAATCCCAGCACCCGGGAGACTGAGGCACAAGGAGCCCTGTAAGTTCAAGGCTAGCCTGAACTGCAAAGTGAGAGCCAGTCACAAAGAAAGAAACCTAACTATGTACTTAAAAAAGGAAGAAGGTTAAAACAGTCAAAAAAATTCTATTAAATAATTTTAAGCTGGGTGAGGTGGCACATGCCTGTATCCCAGCCCTTGGAGGCTAAGGCAGAAAGACTGTTCCAAGTTCAAGCCAGCCTGGGCTACACAATGAGTTCAAGGCCAATGTAAACTGTACAGCAAAAATCTTCCTTAAAAAAACAAAACAAATTTAATCACCGTATCTAGTACCTTGGAACTTGAAACTCCAAGAACAAATAACCAGTACCATTTGGACAAGAGACTCAAAACAGATGGGATATATTTTCCAACAATGTCACAGGCAGAAAATTAAAACCCACCAGGATTGTTGCCATGATAATGCCTATGTCTTGGTTACTTTTCTCTTGTTGCTGAGACAAAATACCCAACGCCTAAAATTAAGGAAGGAAAGGTTTATTTCACTTATGGTTTGTGGAGGTTTTAGTCCATACTTGGCAGGTTACAAGGCAGAGTGGCACATGGCAGAGGGCTACAGCTCACGGCGGCAGAACACAGCAAAGCAACAAGCACAAAAGCCAGGAATGGCCATAAGCAGCCTCTTCCTCTCCCTTACATAAGCAAACTATCCACCCCAGGGCGGGTGTAGCTCTCACATGCATAATCAAACTCTAAAAGCCTAACCCATAACCGCAATGAGGCTTTGGGGGGACACCTAGGCACAAACCATAACAGCCTACTAAAAGAAAACTAAAGGTAAACTGAGTCAATCCCTGAACTTCTATTATAGAGCTGCAAAATATACATGCTAACAAAAGCACCTAATGCCATGGACCATACTGTTCTTTAAGACGGACTATGCTAGGTGTTTTGTTTGTCCATCATCCAAGCTATGCAAAAGCCCTCTGAGGCAGGTGCTGCTCATCACGCCATCTTCAGAGGGATGCTAAAGCCCAGGGGAATTTAAGTCAATGCTCAAAATCACTCATCTTTTTTTTTGGGTACCAAGAATCGAACTCAGGACCTCACGCTTGCCATGCAGGCACTGTATCACTGAGCTAAATCCCCGACTCCAAAATCACTCATCTTAAAAAAAAAAAAAAGAAAAAAGGCAAAGCTGGGGATGTAGCTCAGTGGTAGAACACTTGCCTAACATACATAAGGCCTTGTCAGATCCCCTAGCACTGCAGATAAGGTGAGGGATGGAAGCAAATAAACAAGCAAACGACTTTTAAAACGACAGAAGCCAGGTGTGGTGGCACATGCCTATAATCCCAGCACTTGGGAAGCTGACGCATGAGGATTGCTGTGCAACTCCGAGGTCAGCCTAGGCTACACAGTGAGTTTAAGGCCAGTCTGAGACCACAGTGAGACTCTGTCTCAAAAAATAATACAATATAAAAAACAAAAATCATAACGTAACATAAAATGGCAAAGCCAGAACTGGAAGCCAGACCTGTTTTAATTCCGAAGTTCCTGTTCTAAATAGCTACACATCAATGCCGGCCACGTGGGTAGTGTTAATGTGGTGCTGCTTCCTCTTTGGGGCTCTGGTAACATTTTTTTTTTTTTTTTTTTTTTTTGTCTTTTTTGAGACAGGGTCTTGCTATGGAGTTCAGGCTGGCCTGGAGCTCACTCTGTAGCCCAGGCTGGTCTCAAACTTGCAATGATCCTCCTGCCTCAGCCTCCCAAGTGCTGCGATTACAGGCGTGCACCACCACGTCCAGCTACGACCTGGTAACTTCCGATGGTGTGATGGTAAGCAAGATGGCCAATAAACCTACACTTGTCCCCTAATGTCCCAGTGTTTTGCTTCCTCAGCTCAATGGCTTTATTAAACGTAGAGGGAGCTGCAGTATCTGGATATTCATCAGCTTGTGCCTTTGAAACCATCTATAAATGAGGTGTATCACTATTTCACACTGACACTGCCAAGATTCAATGCGCTATGTACACGTGCACCTCTAGGAAGGGCCCCGTGTGCTCTTGTTACTTCAGATCCTGAAGGGTAGTTAATCAGACTTCAAATATCTGGGTTACTCGAGTCCTACCTCCGTTGCTACTCTGTCTCTCTTGTTTCCTCAACTCAAAAAATACATTGGGGATCATTTCCACCACACCTCAGGAAGATGCTGCGAAGTTGAGCTGGCTAAAAAAATAATTTGGCAAGTGCAGAGGGTTAAATCAGGCCTCTCACTCTGAGCACTACTGTCTTTTTTTTTTTTTTTTGTACTGGGAATCAAACTTAGGACCTTGCGCTTGCTAGGCAGGTGCTTTTTTTTTTTTTGGTCTTTTTGAGACAGGGTCTCGCTATGCAGTTCAGGCTGGCCTTGAGCTCACTTTGTAGCCCAGGATGGTCTCAAACTCGCAAGGATCCTCCTGCCTCGGCCTCCCGAGTGCTGGGATTACAGGTGTGCGCCATCACGCCCGGCCTAGGCAGGTGCTTATGCGCTTATGCCGCTGAGCTATATCCCCAGCCCTGACTTTTATTTTTGAGACAGGGACTCATTATATAGTCCAGGTTGGCCTCAAATTTACAATCTTCCTGCCTTAGCCTCCCGAGCTCTTTGTCATGGGAGCTGGCCTGCACGGTGTGGGGTATTTTGTAACAACCCTGGCCACTACCCCCAGATGCTAAAACATCTTCCTGTGCAGTTGTGATGTTCAAAACTGTCTCCAGACAGGGCCCAATAGCCCCAGTTGAGACTCCCTGGATTAAGGTAACTCAGGTAAAAGGTCCCTTTTGTTTTTTTTTGTTTTTTTTTTTGTCTTTTTGAGACAGGGTCTTGCTATGCAGTTCAGGCTGGCCTTAAGCTCACATTGTAGTCCAGGCTGGTCTCGAACTCACAATGATCCTCCTGCCTCAGCCTCCCAAATGCTAGAATTACAGGTGTGCGCCACCATGCCCGGCTAAACCCTTCTTTCAAGAGCATCGTTTAGAGATGTTCATGTCATGCTGCCTTTACAGGTTAGTGGCTGCTGATCCCCAGGGCTTCCAATGTGCCAAGCCCTGAACAACTCCTTTCCGCTACGTGGTCCAGGAACTGTGCTCACAGTGAGCCCCAGAATGGACAGGGCCATTGCTCTGACCCTAGCTGGAACTTCCTCATGCCAGGACCCTCCATCCCAGGACCCACAGGCCTGCCCTGGCTACATGCCTGACTCATTTCCTGCTTAACCCATTTAATAATTTCTATTCAAATGAGATATTCAGGGCTTTAGAATAGTTCATTCCTCCAGGCGTTCTCTAACTCATCTTGTTAACACAATTAACTAGTACTGGAAAGGCTATGTGCACAGAAAAGAATAAACTTGCAATCTAGTTTAAGCCTTTTACTAGTTATCAAGGATGTCTTATATATTTTTCTGCCTCTTTCTTTTCTGGTGCTACCAGAGACTGAACAAAGGGAGTTACATCCCACAGCACACTTCTTCCTTTTGAGATTGGATCTCAGTAAGTCACCATTCTCTCTCCCCCTCTCCCCTTCTCCCCCTCTCCCCCCACCCCCTCTCTCGTATGTGGTGCTGGCAATGAAGCCTAGGGCAGGGACTCTCATGGCACCTCACAGGAAGATGATGGGAATATACTTCAATTCAGCCCAGGGAAAAACGGGGCTGAAAACTGTCCAAATGTAATCAAATGATACTTTTCAGGTTTTCTAAATAAAAGCTACCTTTCTACTTTTATCTGAGAATGAGTTACAGTTATACAAAAATATGGATTCCCTTAGGCCCTAGAGTAGACAGACAAGGTTAGAAGAGGTGGCTGAGTGACTCCAGTATCTGTACAAATATTGTGTTACATGTACTATGTCATGAAAAAACATATGAACACAAAAATGTCAAGGTCATATTTTTCCTTCTTTGTGCTTTTGTGGTATATTCTATAGTAAGTACAAGCTTTTCTTTAAAAATCTTTTTACAAGTTATTTTTAAACTTATTAAAAATATTATTTTTACACCCACTTGCTGTATAAACTTGAAAATAATAGTATCCTTAATCTGTGCCTCAGTTTTCTTGCTTAAAAACAGGAAGAGTGAAGAGTGATGTGATGGCACACAAGTATAGTTCCAGCTACTTGAGAGGCTGAAGTGGGAGAAATAAGGCCTTATTGATCTCAAAAATAAATAAATAAATTTCTTTTTTTTCTTTCTTTTTTTTTTTTTTTGTTTTTTTTTTCTGGTACCGGAAATCGAACTCACGACCTCGTGCTTGCCAGGCAGGTGCTGTGCCGCTGAGCTAAGTCCCCAGCCCTAATAAATAAATTTAAAAATATGGAGCAGGCCAGGTGTGCTGATGCACACTTGTAATCCCAGCTCTCAAGAGGCTGAGGCAGGAGGATCACCTGGGCTACCCTGAACTACACATAAAACTGTGCTTACTATTCACAGCGTTTTCAGTTATTTCATGTAATACCTTAAAAATTAGAAGTACCAGGCACAGGAAGAACACTGACAAGTGAATCAAAACTTTGCTAATATCTCCCCAAGAATGAGCAAGGATGGACTGAAAAGTAGCTCATTAGTAGTGATGTTGGGGGTCCCCCAAAACCCAAACACCTCTATGGTTTTCTGTTTGGAAAGGGAGGCTGATCCCCATTTTGAGGCCAAGGAAGAAGTGTAAAGAAAGAAAAGTGGTGAGAAGTTGCTGGGTTTGTGATACTATTTCTCCAAGACATAGTGTAGAGGTCATTTCAGCGGAAAAATGCAAGTCACCAGAAGGCAGAGTTCAATGCTGGGCCTCACCTCCATTTATTTATTTAGCCTTTCTCAGAGGGGGCAACTATGAACCAGCTGGAGAAGCATTTAACTCAGAGCGAACGTCACCTACGCAGCAATGCAGGCCAACACTTGGCCAGCCTCACCTTGCAGGAGAAAGTAATCCGAGGTTGTGCGCTTCAGGGCGGCCTTTGCTTTCTCACTGCTCCAGTCCACCTCCAGGGCCTCTTTGACAGGGCAAAAAACCACTTTCTGTTGAGAAAAGGCAAAAATGCTCAGGGAGAAAATATGCTGACTTTAAACCACAAAGCAGCAGCTTTTTTTTTTAATCTCAGAAAATTCCATTATTTAAACTTTACTGATTACGAAGAGGAGCCAAGATGCATTCAATCAAAAAAATGCTTGCCGACCACTTACTGTGGACTCCTGTGTGCACGGGGACCCTGTGACAGACATGCACTTTATACTGAGGGAAGACAGAACCAAGCAAGCTCCCCAACAGGAGTCCACTCCACTTCCTTAAGTCTGGCTGTATGCATACTACAGAAATACTTGCACCAATGAGAAGCAATGACATGCATCTAAAAATATTCAATAAAATATTCTTTGTAATATTAAACAAAAACAACTAAAAATTAAACGGTTCTCAGAAGAACAGTTTGATGATGAATGACTATGTTAAGAAAAACACTAATCGGTGTGGGACATAACCTGTGGAAAAGGCTGTGGAAGCAGCATTTGCAAAAGCCCTGGGGTATGAGGAAGGCTGGCTGAAACTTATAATGCTAAATCAAGTTATCTACTTTTGGTGATGGGGACTGAACCCAGGTTTGCATGTGCTCTACAACTGAGCATCATCCTCCTCAGCCCCAAATCGAATTATCCTAAAAAATGCAATGACATGTTTTATTTTAAAATATATCCCAGGGCTGGGGATATAGCTCAGTGGCATAAGCGCCTGCCTGGCAAGCGCAAGGTCGTGAGTTCAATCCCTGGTACCACAAATAAAAATAAATAAATAAAATAAAATAAAATATATCCCAGCCCTTGGGAGGCTGATGCAGGAGGATCACCATGAGTTTGAGGCCAGCCTGGGATTTATGATGAGATCCTGCCCCCCCCCAAAAATTATTATCGAATTTTATACAATAAATACATATTATTTATCACCTCCAAATACTAGGAAATAGCTATAGATAGAAGGAACACAACTGTTCTTTCTTTATCATGAATAATTCAGTCCCAAACCAACTGCTGGGAGAAACACCACCACCCAGCCACTTGCTGGAAAGGGCAAGGCAAAGCCAGAGTGCCTTGGTTGGCTTGGTGGCCCAGCCAGAAGGGTTAGAGCACAACAAGGCAAGAAAGCCATTGAAAGGCTCACCTGACAAGCATATTTATTGAGAATTTGGCGGGGGGCACGTTGACTGCCAAAGAGAATTTGAGAGGTGAATGAATTCTCAGGGAATTAAGTAATTATCATTACTGGGAGACAACAATATGAACTCATTTTTAATTCATGGATACAGCCAGGAGTAGTGACGCACATCAGTAATCCCGGCAGGAGGATTGGTCACCATGAGATTGAGGCCAGCTTGCACTACCCAGTGAGTTCAAGGCTAGCCTGAGCTACAAAGCAAGACACTGTCTCAAAAAAACCAAAAAATCAAACAAACAAAAGAATCCAAAATATTCATGGATAAACAAATAGTGTGTGTGCACGGGCACACCCACCCACCAATACTATGTCTGCTGAGAATGCCCAACAGCAATGATACCTACCAGCAACAAGCACACCTAACTTCCACATCCTAGTTTCTAATCACCATTCCCCACTCACAGAAGCATTTCTCCTTAGAGAAATGGCTGATTTCAAAGCGAGCGAGCGGGGTGAGGGGTGGGCGTGGGGTAGCTGGACATGGAGAGAACAAGTGGAGCCTGAAACACCTTATCACACTAGAAAGTGGGGAAGTGCTCCCAGCACTCAAGAGGAAACACAGCCAGCTTAAAGAAACTCCCACTGGTCAAATCTGGGGCAGTCTGACAATAAAAAAAGCCATACTAATCAATAATATAAAACACCTTAAATAAACTGGAATCCATTAGTCTACAGACCTAAAATTAACACAATTAGCTAGAAGTTCAATGAGGAATGAGATATTAACATGTTCAAGTACCTCTCCACAAAATAACGTTGTTCATGTAAGGCCTGACAGACAGCTTAATAAACTATGTATAAACAGATCACAGGATGCAACAGGAAGAATACACTCCCAGATATTCTTGCCACAGATGTGTAACTGGCATCTAATCATAAGAAAACATCGGATAGCCTGTGATCCTAGCACTTGGGAGGCTGAGGCAGGAGAATCACCACGAATTCAAGGCCAGCTTTCCACAATGTGAATTCAAGGCCAGCCTGAACTGCATACTGAGACCATGTCTCAAAAAAATCAAAAATCAAAACCTCAGAACTACTGGGCACTGTGGCACATGTGTATAATCTCAGCACTCTGGGAGACGAAAGCAGAAGAATCTTAAGTCTGAAGTCAGCCTGGGCAACACAGATGGACCTTGTCTCTAAATATAAAATTTTTAAAATGGCTGGGTGCCTTCGTTAATTTTCTCTGGTTGCTGAGACAAAATACCTGACGCCCAAAATTAAAGAAGGAAAGGTTTATTTAACTCACAGTTTGTGGAGGTTTCAGTCTATAATCAGCTGGCTCCAAGACAGAGTGACACATGGCAGAGGGCAACAGTTCATGGCAGCAGAAGACAGCAAAATCAACAAGAGTAAAAAGGAGTGGTAGCAAGCAGCCTCTTTCCCTCCCCTACATTGTATGCAAACTACCCACCCCTGCGCAGAAGTAGCACTCACACCCATGATCCCAAACGTCGACCATGGATCAATCATAAACTCTAGAAGCCCGCCCCATGACTGCATGAGGCTTTGGGGGGACATCCAGACACAAACCACAACACTGGGGAATAAGCCTTGGGTTCAATTCCTAGGCAATAGATTTACCTTAGAAATTCCTTTCAATCCTTACTGCCACTGAAAGGAAGAGAAAGAAAACAAAACACTACCAATCCTCAACTGTGGAATTTCTCAACTAATTCATGAAAGTGTATTGAAATCCCCCAAATTAGTCACTTAGTATTTCAGGAGCAGAGGTAAAAACAAATCTGTATTGCTTGCTACATCATGAACAAAATCCCACTTAGTGTATCTACATTTTCAAGGCCTGTGATAGAGTAGCCACTGTCAGGTGTTTAATCACTTCCAACAGCCAGGCATGGTTTGTACACACCTGTAATCGCAGCACTAGAGGCTGAGGCAAGAGAATTCAAGGCCACCTGGGTCACATAGTGAGTTCAAGGTCAGCCTGCACTACATAGAGAGATCCTGTCTAGATAGATAGATAGATAGACAGACAGACAGATGGACAGATAGTTGGATAGATACTGAGACTGTTGGATAGATATCCAACAGTCCCTAATAACATGGACAATCCACAAAACAACCAAAAGCAGCAATGCGGGAGTGTCAGAGGCCTTTTATCCTAACAGTTCTCCAGAATGACTCCAATTTCTTTATTTTTATTCCACTATCTTCATAAAATTTCAAGTTACCCTACAAACTTCTCAGGGGATTCACCTTGTAAATCATGAGCACAGCCAGGGCCCTTGGACACTCCATCAACACTCAGCCCTCTCACTCTTTCTGTCACTGGGCTGGGTCTGAGAGGTGCCCAGGCTGAAATAAGGACCGTATCCCACGCTTCTGTAGAAACAGTCTACAGGTTCCCAGAATAAGCATTTTCAGGGCGAGTCAGTAAGAGGCTCAGGAAGGATTCATTAGGCAGGGACGTGAGGGTGTGCGGGAGGGAAGTGCAGCTGCTAGTCTCCTTTCTGCCTCATCTTCACTTCTCCTATCCTCCCTTCCTCCCTCCATAGCTGGGACACTTGGACAGGCCAGTGAGTGTCTCTGGGCTTCTCTATCAGGTGCGCACTGTAGCAGCAGGACGAGATGTGTTTCCTTGTACCCCACACGGTGACTTCACCTAACCTTCTCCTCTGGGAGATTATCTGACTAAGTTTGGTGACTGGCAAATTTGTACCTCTCACACCAACTCAAACACTTCCTCTGGGAAATCTTCTTGGATACTTCCTCACTACCACTTCATATCTCTCTCTAGCTCGCTCTCTCTGCTGAACCTAGGGCCCTCACACTGAGATATATGTTTTTAGAGAATATTTGACATGGGAAAGTGCATACAAAATAAAATTAAGTATGAGAAAAAGCAAGATACAGAACTGTAAACAGTAGAGCCAGGCATGGTGGCACACGCCTGTAATCCCAGCAGATTGGGAGGCTAAGGCAGGAGGCTCTTTGCGAGTTCAAGACCAGCCTGGGCTACAAAGTGAGCGCAAGGCCAGCCTGAACTGCATAGCGAGATCCTGTCTCAAAATGACAAAAAAAAATTTTTTTTTTTTTTGGTCCTTTTGAGACAGTGTCTTTAAGTCACCAAATCGCCAGGGCTGGCTCAAACACAATTGTCCTGCCTCAGCCTCCAAGAGTACGGTGATTACATGCCACCATTTCATTGCTCTCATTTATCTACTGCATGGTAGGGTCTGTACCAGGCTTGTGACAATTCAATTCTGATTAAATCTGTCTCATGACTTCTGGGTACTAAAGGAAGCAAACAAACTATGGGCTAGGCATTTTCCTACTGCCTTATTTATCGTGATGGCACATGTGCTAGAAAAGCCCTGTATCTTCCTAGATGGTGTGAAAACCACAACTTGTTTTTCCTCTTTGTTTTTTAAAGTTTCTAATTTAGGAGCTCAAAGTGTACCTTGAGGCAAAAGTGGCTTTACATTTGGTTTAACCCAGGAATAGGGGGGAGGGGAAGGGAACTCTAACCAGAAACCTTTCACAGGAAACAGGAAGTGGCTTCTATCCCACCCCCCATTCTATAGTCTCTGCATAAGCCAACCAGTTATTCTATACAATTTAGGCAAAAGGGTCGAATCTGAATCCAGAATTTTTGTGTTCAAACATAACTTCAAAATCATAGGGCCATCTCTGCCAAAATGGAGAAGGCATATTATTATAAGGTAACAAAGCCATGGCCAAAACCCAATTTGGCCAAGCCCTTCTAGAGGGCTCTTGTAGGGCCACACAAAGACAAGGTTTGGAATCCCAGGGATTGTCATGAGGAATGTATTGAATGCCTCACAACCTTGTGGGCTCTGGGTTGGAATCCAGGCTTGAATTGTAGAAGTGTAACAGCTGACTAACAATGTCAGCTGGGGAATATTTTGATACCTTCAAATTCGGCCCCTTGCAGGAAGAGGCTGCACAAAAAGCTCTGACTGTAGCACCCTGAGGAATGGTACGCCAAGGCCCAGCCCGAGTGCCTGCTTGGGCTACCACATTCTCCTCGTTGTGAAATGAAGTGGCTCCCAAAACAGGTTTCCAGATCCACCCCAGTGGGCACCATCATAATTGACTCCAGGGAAACTTCCAGCTGTGAATGGCTAACAAAGCTAGGCGGCTTGCTCTGCATTTGAATGTAAGAGTGCCTCACTCAGAGAAGGCCCTTAAGCCATAAAACCCTGTACAGCAAGGCCAAGTGTCACACTTGTAAGAGGGTGTGATTTATAAATTGACAGCACCCACAAAGCTGCTTTTGTCCTCCTCCGTTTGTTAACAATTTATCCTCCCCATCAAACACATGGAGCTATTCAGATAAAGCTTGACTGCTTGACTGAGCCTCCAAAATTTAAAAAAAGGAAAGGACGCAAGAAAGAAAAGAACCAAAGTTTTGGCCAAAACACCAATGTTCAACTCTGGTAATTACGGTCCTGTGAATAGACACTAAAATTAGGGCTTAATAATTCCTCTGTATCACACTCATAGCACCAAGCTATTCCAATACAAACACAAAAAGCAAAAGAAAGAAAATCTCCAGCACTGCCTTGCTGGAGCCTCTAAGAGTTCCACTTCTGTGGTTTTCTGCAAGTCTCTTTTGTGGTTTCTGCACTCTTCAGAATGCCCCCTTTAGAGCAAGTTTAACTTGAAATTATGACCCGCTAGGGTTTTTTTCCTCAATATTTAAATCTATAAAGCAAAAAGTAAATATGGGCTTGGTCATATCTTTCCTCTCAGTTCAACAAAACCAATTCAGGCCACTTCGAATTGTTTTCCCCATCACATGATTCCATTCTCCGAGTCCAATACTTGCTACAGAAACCATCAACTTTTGATTCCTTTCCCACTCCTTTCTTTAAATAAATTTAAGCAGGGCGTGGTGGCTCACGCCTGTAATCCCAGCACTCAGGAGGCTGAGGCAGGAGGATCATTGTGAGTTCGAGACCAGCCTGGGCTACAAAGTGAGCTCAAGGCCAGCTTGAACTGCATAGCGAGACCCTGTCTCAAAAAGACAGAAAATAAATAAATAAATAAATAAATAAATAAATAAATAAATAAATAAATTCAGGTCATTCACCAGATCCAAACAGAGGCTAAGCTCCTAATATAAACCACATTACAAAGCATATAACTGAATTGCACATGGTAGCAGAGACCTGTAATCTCAGCTACTAAGGAAGCTGAGGCAGGAGGATCACAAGATTAAGGCCAATCTTGATAATTTAGTGAGATCCTGTTTCAAAATACAATAGGGCCAGGGACATTGCTCAGTGGTACAGTGATACTGGTTTTAATCTCCAGTACTGCCAAAGGGGGTGGGGTAGGTATGCCTGAAATCCCAGGTACTTGAGGAACATAAATTTGAGACTGCCCAAAGCAACTTGGTGGGACTGTGTCTCCCTAAAAACTCAAAAAAACGAACAAAAAAGGACTGGTAGAGTGCTTGCCTAGATGCTCAAAGCTGTGGGTTCAATTCCTAGACCACCACACATACACCCTCTTTTTTTTTTCGTTTTGTTTTTTGAAACATGGTCTCACCATATAGTCCAGGCTGATCTCAAACTCACTATGTAACGCAGGCTGGCCTCGAACTCACGGCAATCTTCCTGCCTCAACCTCCCAAGTGCTTGGATTATAGGTATGTGCCACCATGCCTGGCTACAGTAACTATTACTAAATGTTATTTGGCGGAAGATATCAGCCAGGGCACAGTGGCACACACCTATAGTCAAACTATTCAGAGAGGCTGACTCAGAATGCTCCCAAATTTGAGGCTAGCCCAGGAAATTTAGCAAGCCCCTATTTGAAAATAAAAATTAAAAGGGCTAGGAATATACAATTCAGTGGTAGAAGGGTGAGGTGGTGGTGGTGCTATTTAAACTGGCTCCTGCACACTTAGAACTTATCACATTGTCTGTCTGAAACAAAAAATTATTTGTACAAAAGTAATGGCTTCTGCTCACAACAATCTGATACGACTCCACGCGCCACAAGTCTAAACTGGTAGTCCATATACCAAATAAGCCACACAGGCATGTTCCGTTTGGCTTCCACAGTGTTGACCAAACCGCATTCAAAGCAATTTCAGCACTAGTTAAAAAGTTTGGGACAGTGCATATAAAACTGGCATTTCCTAATTCTTTTGGAAATTTACATCTGGAATGTGAACCCTCTTCCTCAGAGCAGCAGACACTTCCATTGGGAGGGATAAGCATGAGCCCTCCCCTCAAGACTGCTCCACTGGGTTTGCTTTACTCCTTTGCCATTGCCAAGGCCCAGCCCCAATAAAGCCCCAGGGTTTCTGACCTGCTCCCCGCAGGGCAAGTGCTGTACCTTTTTGACCATTGTCGTCTCAGATGAATCAAGTTTTGCTCTCTTGGTGTCAGGCCCATCTTCTACTCCTTGGCTAACTTTGGCAACTTTGGTTTTCTCCCTAGAGAGAGAATTGAGTTCTACTATTATGAACTGTGCCATAATTAAAGAAAAAAAAGTATTCCAGCTCTGAGTAGGATGGTGTGTAAAGAGCAAAATCTTTGAAGTTAAACAGACCTGGGTTGAAATCCCAACCCTGTCACAAACTACCTTATAAATCAGTGACCCACTCTGTGGAAACAGCAGTCCCTAACACCATTAATGCAAAAGTGCCATAAGATAATTACTCAGCACTCTGCCCTGCACATATAAGCTCTCAATAAATGAAAGCAATTACATTAGACCATTCTAGTGGAACATAAAATAAATATTCAGACGGGTGTGGTGGTGCACATGAGTAAATCCAGCACTCAGGAGGCTGAGGCAGGAGGAACACTGAGAGTTTGAGGCCAGCCTGGACTATACAGTGAGTTCAATGGCAGCCTAAACTACATAACAAGACCCTGTTTCAAAAAAAATAAAAACAAAAATCGAACCTTAATTTCTTCCTTCTGCTGTGGCAAGCCCATGTCAAAATAACCTGGCCTGGGGATGGGGCTCAGTGGCACAAGCGCCTGCCTGGCAAGCACAAGGTCCTGAGTTCAATCCCAGGTACCGCAAAACAAAACAAAACAAAACAAAAATGTTAATTCCTAAAATAACCTGGCCTGCTTTTCATTATTATAACTTTTTTGTAATATATACAAAAACCTAGAGTCTCAAATCCATACAGTGCTATAGTTTGGAGGTATCTTGAATGTGTTTCTCCTTCCTTCATTTTCAGTTTATCAGCAAGAGAAATTTTGGATGCTTCTCTGAGAGGCTGAACAAGAGAACAGTTCTCAGGGCTCTGGGAAGGAAGGCCCCCCACCCCAACCTCTCTTTACCTCTCATTAGCAAGCTGGGGAGGAGAAGAGTGCGTGTCAGAAATTACAACCAAAACAACCAACTCACGTAGTTTTGTAATACTTCATCACCTGCAATCGTTCATGCAGAAGCTACAAATTCAAAACACTACAGGTCCCATCATGTGAGAACTACCAGTCTGCAGCCTCAATGTTTGAAATGAGGGATAAGGTCTGCTCGTTCCACCAGAGTAGTGTGGACACAGAAACTTTTCCAAGGTAGACTTCTGCTGAACGAGCCTCCAAGGTGACCCACCTAACTATCCCTGAAATTGAAAGCACGCTTTTCCCATGCAGACAACACAGGTTCAACATCCAAGGTCCAGACTGATCAAATACCCACACAGTGTACTCTACTTGTGGTACAACTAAGTGTGCTTTAGGCTTTAGACCAGACTACGCTTGGAGGGCAGGAGCTGATCTTCTTTTTGAATCCACAGCCAACTGTACTCAGTAAATTGTCAGTGGCTTGGTTTCAGGACGTTCTAAGTATCAGAGTAAAATACTTTGCTCAGATGCTGTAATTTCTACCAATAAATAAAAAAATAGGGGCTGGGGATTTAGCTTAGCGGCAAAGCGCCTGCCTGGCAAGCGCAAGGTCGTGAGTTCGATTCCTGGTACCAGAAGAAAAACAAAACAAAACAAAACAAAACAAAATTTAAAAATTAAAAAATACTCCATTTTCCCTTCCCACCCAACTTACTCTACAAACTCATGCTCTCCAAGATTGGCAAATGTGTAGCCATGGTAGCCAAAGACATCTCCTGTGAAGAATTTGATGCTGTTTTTGTAACAGATCTGGTCAACTTTAACTATGACATCTCTGGAGCAGCAAGTCAGGCATACCTGCAGGAAAGAAGAAATTGGCTGGGTGTGAGTTTTGCAAACTGTGAATCACTGCCCTAATGTCTAAATAAACCTTAATGATCAGTCCTGGGCATGTTGAAAGCCAGTTTCAAACTGGTACAACAGGTTCTCTGGGTGCTCTGGGTAGAAGACCAAAGAGAAGGTACAGGTTTCAGGGTGTAAAAAATGTAAATTATGTGTCAGTCACCTTCTGCAACCAAAAGAAATGTTTAGGTAAAAAGTAAAAGCTATTAAATGAAAGTTCCCCTCATCCGTGAGCATATACAAACTATGCCGTTGTCATGAAAAAGACAGTAATAGTTCAGAGCAAACTGTTTCTAACCTAGTGGCTAGATCTATTAAAATTCAAAGAAGCTATAGTGAAAAGCAGAACATTTTTTTAAACTGACCCAAAGGTCATATTTCAATAGGAGAGCATTCCTCCTTTTCTTGATTGATATCCGAAGATAAATCCTATTGAGATTATTTTCCCACAGATTTTGGTGTGAAACTATCTGAATTAAAGGACAAAGAAAAGGTTACAGGCCAAATGACCTTCCATTCTGACTTAAAAGACAAAAAACCAGCGATTCACTCAGTGGAGTTATTGGTGGTGTTCTGCAACCTCTAGGTTGTGTTCCAAGAGCCTGCTATGCTGGAAATAGCCGAGTTCTATTGCACAAAATACTATCTTTTCAGAAGAAGCTTTGTGATTGCCATTAAAAGATAACTTGGGGGCTGGGGGTGTACCTCAGTGGTATAGCACTGGCTTAGCATAAGTGAGGCACTGGGTTCAATTCTTAGCACTAAGGGAGGGAGGGAGGTAAAGAGGGGGGAAGGGAGGGAAAGAAAGAGAGAGAGAGAGAGGGAGGGAGGGAGGGAGGGAAGGAGGAAGGAAGGAAGGAAGGAGGAAAAATACAACAGTATAATGCTGGAAGGAAGGAAGGAAGGAGGAAAAATACAACAGTGCAATGCTGGGTATGGTGGCACATGCCTGTAATCCCACCACTTGGAGGCTGAGGCAGGAGGACTGCCACAAATTTGTGGCCCTCCTAGGCTACATGGTGAGTTCATGACCAATCTGAACTACACAGACCGGCTCCAAAACAAAAACCAAAAAAGTGTGAAAAACAAACTAGTCACAAATTCTACCTTCCTATATAACAGGCCTTTCACTTAAAAACAAGTTCCTCCTTTGTGACCCTTCACTGTTACCCTGGATTTGTTAAGCTTTCCCAGGATGCAGGGTGCTATGTCTAAAAGATCAGACACTGACAGAGAAGTTAACGCATCCTTTCAACCCTGCGCAGAACTGTCAGTGAAAGAAAACTAGGTTGGCTGGACTTATGACTATGGTGACTTTGCTTTGTTATCCAAGGCAAATGAGGCAGCCGTAGGTCAAGACAAGGTATGCTCTTTCTTAGGACAAAACAGGCGCTGTAGTCTGACACAATATTTCTAACACAAAAGTGCCTCTGCCACTGAAACTAACAACTTGTTATGTTTCTGGGAGAAAACATTTGTAATATTATATATCAAAGCTACACGCAAAGACTGCAAAGACAAAACACCGACGCTGAAATGTGCCGTGGGGGGACATATGCCCAGAGAAGCCAGCAGACAGCACATCACAACCACAGCAGGTCCAACAGATGGGATCTACCTACCAACATAGTCATGTGGTAAACTGAGCTAGAACAGAACAACTTAAAACTTTACTTGAGAAAAAGTTCAGAATTTAAGATTTGGAGGCTCTAGTATACCTACAACTAGTGCTTTAACTTGATTAATTCCTCTAGTAAGCTTTACATTAAGAAACTTACAGCATCAAATTGAGTGAAAAATGACTCAGGTTTTTTCTCTATATCCTCAGTGTCCACCTTCACATCCACCATGGGGTTGAGATTTTGTGCTCTCTCCAAAGAAGCTTCAGCTCTATTTCGGCCAATGGACCCAGTACGAATCAGGAATTGGGCTCCAGGATCATCTGGAGATACCTAGGAAAGAATAAACTTTTCTTTATTCTTGATTTTTTTTCTGGAAAATAAATTTCAAAGACAATGAACTTCCTAATTTTAAAGGATAAAGAGAAACCATTTTGAAGGTATCAATATGTAATACAACAAGGACTGTTAATTTCCTACCACTCTGTAACTCTGTATTGTCTGCACTGTTCTTTTGCTATTTTGTAAACGGTTGTCTGTCTGTTAATGTTTTCCTCCGTTTATTTGAAAAAAAAAAAAAAAAAAGGATAGATAAAATACCACCATCAAATTGTATTGTTGTTCCTATGGCGATTGGCCTAATACATACTCCCTACTCTCTTCTAAGATTTAAAGCAGGACATTTAAATTTTTCAAACTGGTCACTGATAGATAAAGAGCACCCCCTTGTGTTTACAAGGGAAATTCATTCTAAATGAAAGCCTTTTTTCCTGCATTAAAATATGCTTAAATTTCAAACAAAATGACTGGTTACCAGTGGTAAGGAAACGGATTTTGCAGGGCATGGTGGCATATGCTTGTAATCCCAGCACTCAGGAGGCCGAGGCAAGAGGATTGCCGAGAGTTGGAGGCCAGCCTGGGCTACGCAGTGAGATAAGGCCAGCCTGAACTACATAGCAAAACCCTGAACAAACTAATCAACCAACCACAGATTCTGGTTACAGTGGTAAGAACACAGAACTGACTATGGTAGATTTTCTATCATGTACCCAACCCTAAGCATTCAGAGAAATACATGAAGATCCAGTCCATGACTATAAGTGGCTTAAAATCAGCCAAATACAAAAATCAGACACAATTAGGAATACTTCCCCCCGCTCCCGGTACCAGGAATCGAACTCATGACTTCACGCTTGCCAGGCAGGCACTGTGCCGCTGAGCTAAATCCCCAACCCCAAAATTAGGAATACTTGAAATGAACTTTTAAACTTGACTACAATTCAGAGAGAAGGACAGATGAGTAGGAGCTACAGTGTGGACCTCACCATAAGGCTGGATGTCAGCAGAACAAAGCCTCAAAAATAGAATATAATAATTCCTTGACAACTTCGAGACTACAGATTTCATACTGCTCCCTAAGCATTTCTTCACATACCAGTATCTCATTTAACCATTCACCTCTGTCAATGATATCATCACCTTCACTAAGACTAGGTTCAATAGAAGTAATCTCTCCTCCTACCAACCATCCCTAGCATACTCTTCCTCACTTTTCCTCTCAAAAAACGAGCTGGTCCTCTTCCTAGCCCAGGCCAACCCTGCAGCATTACATTTGATCCATCCCATCCTACTTCTTCAGGGATCTCATTCCTCAGGATAGGTTAAACTTCACGGTATTTAAGAGCAATGACCCTAAAATAAACCAGGGCTCATTCAAATCTTTTATTCAAAACCTGCTTCACCCAGGCATGGCGGCACATGCCTGTAACCCCAACTTTGTGGGAAGCTGAGGCAGGAAAAATACAAGTGTGAGACCAGTCCACACAACTTAGCAAGACTATCTCAAAATAAAATTTAAAAAATAGTGCCAGGGATGTATCTCAGCACTCCCTGGGCCAATGCCAAACCAAACCAAACAAACCACACCAAACCAAACAACAACAAAAAAACCCAAACACCTGATTCAACTACTTGGTATACGATCTTGAGTAAATATATGAGAACTGCATATATTTAAATGTAGGCACAAAATTAAGATGTTAATAAAAGCATACCCTCCTTAAACCCCACCAATGCCAATCATTACCATTAGTCCACATATACCTTCCTCATGACACTCTACTTCCCTGGTTTCTTGGTCCTGGGTCTCCTCTTTCCTCAACCGACAGCCCAGTCTCTCTATGGCCCTGTACAAACTGTCCCTAGGACTCCATTGAAGAACCAATACCTCTTTTGGTATGTACCAAAATCTGCAGTTATTTCTCAAATCCTTAATAGTGCAGGTTTCTTCCTTACATCCCAGAGTTGTTTATGAAACTGCCCATCTAGCCATTTCCTCCTGGATATCTAACAGCCCGCCTTTCTTTTCTTTTTTTCTCTTTCCTTTTTTTTTGCAGTATTAGGGTTCAAATCCAGATGCTCTACCACTGAGCTACATCCCTAACCCCCTTTTTTTTCCAGTGTTATTTTGAGACAGAGCATCCCTAAGTTGCCCAGGCAAGACTCAAACTGAGATCCTCCCACCTCAGCTTCCCTAAATACTGGGCTTACGGGTGCCATATCTTGCCTAGTCCTTCATGATGGACTCCGTTTGTATTTGCCATCTTTGCTGATAAGCCACCAACCATCCATCCAGTCACCCAAGCCAGAAACCTGGTCTTCATGTCACTGATATTTCCCTGACTACAGCCACACAGAATGGTGGCTAAGGGCATGAGCAGGTCCTGGACACACCACTAACTACTATGAGATCTCAGTGGACTAAAACTGCACTTCCTTTCAAGTTTTCTTTTCTGTAAAACAGAGATGGTAACAGGTCCCAGTTGCAGTGAGGACTAAACTACAGCTCACAGAATAGGGTCCAGCACCTTCAGTAAAGTCAGATGCTGTAGCTATTCCTGCCTCTTCTTAAACTCAAATATGTACACTTCTAACAATTATATCACCTAAGTTTTTCTCAGTCACGTGCTTCTCATCATCTCTATCACCAAGATTTTTGCTCAAACCGTTTATACCGCTCATCTACACAGTACACTAAAGCAGCAATCTTAGTGGTCTTCTGCTATGTATCTTGTACTTACCATAATTCACACAATGATCAGTGATCTACTCAAACAGATCTATTTACTGGTAACCTATCCCCATGGTAATGACCTACTTTATTAACAATTAAAGCCAAAAGATGACCAGGTCACCTTCTGCCCCTATTTAAAACTGTTTAATGAGCTTTTAGCAACTATAAGACTGGGTGAAAACTTTTTTTATGAGTAGGAAAATTTATTGGGAAGTAAGAATGGGGAATAGGAATAGCTCCTGAGAGATAGGAAGGGTTCCAAATGTGTTGTCATCGAACCCATTTCTCTGAGAAAGTTTTATAAAGCAAAGTCACAAGGGATGGGTACAATGTGGGCCAAATTATAATCATCCAAAAACACTACAAGTATAGCTACTATGGGCTGCGATTTAGCTCAGTGGCACAGCGCCTGCCTGGTAAGCATGAGGTCGTAAGTTCAATTCCCAGTACCGCAAAAAAAAACAAAAACAAAACAACAACAACAACAAAAAACAAGTATAGCTACTTAGCTAATATTGATCCAATAGCCGCAAGGCATATGAATGACATCACTAACCTTGGTCAGTAATCTATAGTCTGAGTCTTTGTCTTTAGTCTTAGTGGATGGGAGATAACAGTTTATGTATATGGGAAATCTCAAAACAGTGACACCAATAATCTCAAGCTTCTTTAGAGAAGAATGTAAATCTGGCCATTGTGACTTTAATCTTCTTTAGATGTGCTTCTAGCCAGTTTTTGATGTGTTCTCACCTTCGGCACTGACACCCCCAAGGGCCTAGCTGAGTGCCTATAATATTTCTACCTATCTGTCTGTAATATTCCCCCCTCTGAAGAGCTATCCATAACTGCAGTTAGGGAAGAAGAAGCATAGTTTCCACTTAGCTGCTTTGAGCTTGGAAGGGTCAACGTAGGCGAGATTGCAGTCGGGGCCTTCGCTAGAGAGTTAATCTAATGGGCCTTGGCTAGAAGTCATGGTGCAGTTTAGCAGTTATGAATTCCCTTTACAAGGCTGATCTAGTGGATACCGGTAAAAGGGGTCTGGCATATTTGTTGTTGGTTCCAGCTGCATGATAACTTGGGGATGAGTAAAAGCTTAGGCCCTTAGAAGACCCTCCTGACACAATCTTGATCTACAACCTGCCCTCCCCCACCACATTGGGTCTCATACTCTAAAAACACCAAAGTTCTTGTTTTACTCCATTTCTACCTTGCTGATGGACACTTTTGTGCTGCTACTAATGTCCCCTACCTAAAACAGCTCCTCAAACTTGATGCACCATTCTGTGTTCTTTAAGACCTACTCAGAAACTCCAGGACATCTTACTACAATGACCTGAGTCAGGTAATCTGCATTCTGGTTTCCAGAAAAAACTGCGAATGAAAACCAAACTATAAGCATCATTTCTATCACTAGCACCTAGCAGGCCACAAGGTACCCAGCAGGCGTGCTCAGATGCTCGCTCAATATAAACTTAAGAGTTCTGAGAGGCATTAATTTCTTCATTTTAGAGATGAGCAAACTAACTTTGAGAGGTCAAGTACTTTGTTCAGTTTGAGGTGCTAGGATGTGAGCTAATGTCTGCATGACTCCAAAGCCTTGGTACTTGGCACTGCTTCCCTAGGGTGTTCCTAGTCGGGGAAATTGCAGGTGGTTCAGAACCATCATAGGGTGTTCATGAGCAACTGTTAATTTACCTGATGGGAGTCAGGTTGAGTAAAGTGACTGGAAGCCGGTTATGAGGCCAGTGGTGGTCAATTCTCCCTACCAGACTCATCTACAGAACTTCATTTTAAAGTAATCTCCCAGATATCCTAAAGTACAGCTGAGGTTGAGGACCACCTTGTTAGGCAGGAGGGGGGCGCCATGGCTCTGCAAGTAAAGAGTTAAGAGACGACAATCAGTTGTTCAGTGGGGAGCAGTCCTCACTGTTCAATGTGATATTACAACCATATTACACCTCTCATTATATGATCATCTTCCATTCACGTATTCCCACACTAAATGAGAAAGTTATCATCCCTGTCGTTGCTACTTTTTTTTTTTTGCTGGTAATGACTGAACTCAGGATCTTCACATTGCGCTTTGTCTCTACTCATTTTTGAGACAGGATCTTGCTGAACTGCCCAAAGTAGGCGCGAACCTATGCTCCTTCTGCCTCAGGTGCTAGAATTACACACACACACGCCAGTTACATGTGGCTAATTTTTTTAACTTTGAGACAAGGTCATGCTAAATTGCCCAGGCTGGTCTCAAACTTGAAATCCTTCTGCTCCAGGTTTCGTAACAGCTGGGAATTCGGGTGTGCACTAAATACCCAGGTCCCATGGAGTTTCGTTTTTCCAAGCCAAGTGCCATCAGTGCAGCACCTACCTTTGGACTCTCACCCTTTTTCATACAGTGGTCTTTGAATGAGATGCTTCTACCTCTAGAGGGCAGTGCGCCTTGAAAGATGCACCCTGTCCCTAGGCAGCTAGATTTTGCGAACTTTTTTCCTTAGGTTTTAAAATGCAAATCAAAAATCAGTTTGGGGCAGTGATATAAAGTGAACCAGACTACCGTTTCTTTTCATATTGCAGTAGTGGTGGTGGGGGAGACCGAGACTGACTGGGGATAGAATCCAGGGCCACAAACTGAACTGTATCTACACCCTTTTTTATATTTTTCCTTGAGACAGATCTCACTAAATTACCCAGTTTTGCCTTGAGCTTGCAATCCTCCTGCCTCAGCCTCCTTGGAATTACAGGTAATGCACAATGGCCCCACCCTGAAATAGAATTTTTTTTCACAAAAATAATACATCCAGTCAGGTGTGGTGGTACATGCTTGTAAACCCAGTGCTCAGGAGGCTGAGGCAGCAGGATTGCTGCAAGTTCAAGGCCAGCCTGGGCTACACAGTGAGTTCAAGGCCAGCCTGAATTACAGAGCAAGACCCTGACTGCTTCCCATTGAAGGAACTGATTGTTGTCCCTTACCTCTTTACTTGTAGAGCCATGGCGCCCCCCTCCTGCCTAACAAGGTGGTCCTCAACCTCAGATGTACTTTAGAATATCTGGGAGATTACTTTAAAATGAAGTTCTATAGATAAGTCTGGTAGGGAGAATTGACAAAAGTTCTGTAGATGAGTCTGGTAGGGAGAACTGACCACCACTGGCCTCATGTAACTGGCTTCCAGTCACTTCACTCAACCTGACTCCCATCACGTAAATTAACAATTGTTCACAAACACCTCATGATGGTTCTCCCATTTATAATTTCCCCAACTATGCACACCCCAGGGAAACAGTGCTGCCAAGTACCAAGGCTTTGGAATCATGTAGACTTGAGCTCAAATCGTAGTTCCTCAAAACAAAACAAAACAAAACCCTTCCAAATCTTCCTAAACACCCACATACAGTAAGTTTTAAAATTTTTCATTAATATCCTGTTGTCTAGTGGTTAGGAAAATAAATAATTAAGTTATCTAGGTCAGTTGAGCCACTCTATTTTCAGTTAGTTAGTCAGACGATTTTTAGATAGGTTGTAAAATCATTTGTCTACTCCTTACAACTACCTTCCTAAAGGATATGTTATTAACTCCGGTGTATAAACTGGCAAGCTCAGTCTGCAGACCTTGAGTCTCCACTGCCATCCAGCTAGAATGTGGTACAGTTGGAATTCAAAGCTACTGCCAGCACCGTTAATCTCCAAAGGCTAGTTCCACTAACTACAGCCTTTCTTTCAAAGCACAAGTAGGCAATCATAAAATGTGCACCTAATCACAAAATGTGCAGAGCAAAGGGGAGGGCAGTGATAGGATGGCAAAGGCGCACCTGTTCGTGATCCAGCATGGTCAGTCCTTTCACTCCTGCCAAGATGAGATTCTTGGCAATTTCAGCTCCAAGTCCTTTCATGCCAACCAGAAGCACACGGGAGGCCCGAAGCCTGTTAAAGGAGACACTGTTAACCTGATGATATACAACAGTGGAGCTTGCTGAATCAGAGAAGAACAAAGTAACAGGGAACTAATTTTGGTTTTCACAAAATGCATAGACGTGAAGCCTCACAGTCTCAAATCTACTAAAGAGAGGTTCCAACCCATCCTGCACAAATTCACTCAACAGGTATTGGCTAGGGTAATGAAATACAGCCGTCAGGAGTGGTGGCGCACGCCTGTAATTCCACCACTCAGCAGGCCGAGGAAGAAGGATCACTGGATCACTGAGAATTTGAGACCAGCCTGGGCTACGAAGTGAGCTCAAGGCCAGCCTGAACTGCAAAGGGATATCCGGTCTCAAAAAGACACACACAAAAAAAAGAAAAGAAAAAGAAAAAAGACAGAAAAAGAAAATAGAAATACAGTAATACTATAAATACAATAGTTCCTCCCTCCCTAGAGTGGGAGGAGATAGATAAACAGATACATGTCAACCAGCATCAGGCATGGTGATGCAACCTGTAATCGGAGCATTATGGGAGACCAAGGCAGAAGAACCACAAATTCCTGTCTGGCCTGAGCAACTTAGCAAGACCCTGTCTCAAAACGAGGAGGACAGGTAGCTCAGTATGTAGGCCCTGAGTTCAATACCAAGTACTGGGGGAAAAAAAAAAAAACTCAAGCCAAAACAAAAAAAAACCACACTCCTTCTCCCTCCATTTGCCCTCTGCCATGTGCCACTCTGCCTCAGAGCCAGCCAAGTATGGACTGAAACCTCCACAAACTGTAAGCTAAATAAACCGTTCCTTCCTTAATTTTGGGCATCAGGTATTTTGCCCCAGCAACAAGAAAAAAGTAACTACAACAGAATTTGGTACCAGGAGTGGGGTCGTTGCTGTAACTATACCTGACCACGTGGTTCAGGAGCCTTTGGAAAAGGCTTGTGAGAAGTGTTCAGAAAGGTTTGGAAATGTCGCCTGAAAAAGAAGCGCTAGAACGCCTTCCACTGTTCTGTATGGGAGATTCTGGTCAGAGCTGGTAAGACCAGAAGGCTGATAAGAAATCCTGCTGGTAAAGACCAGGTTTGGGAGGTTTCTGTTGGGAAGAAGGACTTCATTGGTTGTTGGATTCCAGACGATGTGGTATGGCTTAGCCGAAAGTTTGTTTGCATTTTGCTCGTGTCCAGAGACTTTGCCTGAAACTGAGATTATGGGCAATGGCAGACTAATGAATCTGGCAGAAGAAATTTCAAGGCAGTCAGACGTTGGGGAAGTGGCATGGCTATTGTTGGGGGCTTTTAGCCAGATTTATATTGAGAATCAAGAACAAAGAGCCCAGCAGGATGATTTAAAATGTTGTGAGTTTGGCCAGAAAGGAAGCTCCAGTAAAGCTGTGGACTGCAAAGATAAGGCTGAGGAGATTTCTATTGCTGAGAAGGAACAAGAGAATGGAAAAGATGGCTTGAGGGCATGGCAAGCAGCAAGTCTCTATTCTTTGCAGCCTCAAAACTGCAAAGGTGAAAGACCTGGTCTTGAGAAGGAAGCTGTACAGCACCATGTTCCAGAATGGCGGCGGCAGCTATACAGGTTCCAGAAAGGCAGCAGCATAGAAAAT